AACGTGTGGAACCCCTCTGGTTTGGACCATTTTCCTTTAAAGGGACCGGGTCCCTGTCAGGCTCCATGTGAAAAGGCTGGGTATGCCACTCAACATGGTTGTTGTTGGCAAACATTTCACATGTTTGCTTGTTGTGGTTTAGTGGTTGAAATCCCCACTGAACTGCTAAGACTTTATTTTTGTTGCTCCCCAAACCCAACGTCAACCAAGTCAAAAAAGCCGCGGCCCAGGAGGCCTTGCTGTGTCAGAACACGCTGCGCGCGGCGGCGCGGCAGCATCGCATCCACAGCTCCACCATCGAGGCCCACATCTGGGGCCGACGGGGCTGGGCGCCTCGGCGGAATCAGTGCGGGACGTCGACGGGGGTTGTCAGCTTGGGTTACTTCCATTTGCGTAAGAATAGGTGTTCCTTTTCTATATATATTGTTTGGTCAATATCGCCTTGTTGGTTTTAAAAGGAATTTATCACTACTGCAAATATGCTTTTTTTTTTCTCCAGGGGTCTTAACCAAATGGAAGGTTAAGGGAGGGGGACTCAGTAAATGTGCTAGGGCCGCAGAATGTAAGCCCAGGATCAATACACCCTCGGATGAGTTGAGGGGTGTCCCAGTTTACCTGCATCTTCCGTTAGGCAGCTTGGAAAGTTTGTGGTTTTGACGAGCCCCTTGAAGGTCAACGAAAACCAGGCGACAAGTCAGGTTCCTTCTCTGTTTGCTTTGCTTTGAGGAGCTACGTTTTGAAAACCCAAGTCAAATCCAGGGCAGTTTAGTTGCATTGGTTTCCTGACAAGTGAGCAGCGCCCAACACAACCGTTGGCCAGTTTAGTCATTTGACCCAGGTTGATAAGGTAGACCACAAGTAAACAGGTGGTTGACGCCTTGATTTGGGCAACCAATCCAAACAATCCTCACTTGGGCATTAGGCCAACACCAAAAGCAACCGGAACACGTGGTTGTGTGCTTGTCTTTTGGGGGTGTTGCTTTGATTGGTCGGTCAGTTGGATGTTTCGTCGCGCCTTCCACTGGCTATCTCAGACCTCTCGAGAGCGGCAAGGGACGAGTTTTTGGCCCGGAAGGGGCGGAAAGGGCGGGTGCCGTGCCAGAGTCGGAATGGGTATGGTTTTTTTTTTAGTTTTCAGGGAAGCGGACAGGAACAGAATATTGGGGGTCCCTCAAAAACAAACACACCCAACAAACACACCCTGAGGGTAGCCTCCAAAAAGGACAAAGCCAAGTGGGTCGGATATGGGTACATTGGTGCAAGCCTTTATCCAAACAGATTTGCCCCAACCATCCTTTGTTTTTCGTCCCCCTGGTTGGGCTGACTGGATCTACGGAACTTAAACACGCATTATGGCATTACCCGGTTGTGTCGAGAAGTGGGTTCCCCCAGAGTATTCTTTTGGTTTCCCAAGCCAAAGAAGGTAGCCACTCACAAAAGGGCGCGCCACTTCCAAGGTGCAGGGCAGCCTGGCACAGAAATCCCCGAGCCTCAAGAAGCTGACGCTGGAAATGGAGAAGACCCTCGCTCCGTTTCGATCGTCTCACGCGCGGAAACCGGGGCTGCTCTTCTTCTTTTTTTGTGGCGAAGCGTAAGTCTTGGGGGCAAATGGCACCAGGAGAAGGACAACGGAGAACAACCCATTGCAGTCCCCGACAAAAAGAAAAAACGGTTCGGCCCATGTCCTGTTGTCTTTTTTTGGAGGGTTGACTTTGGGAAAGGCAGACAAATCCACGTCCATCACAAAAACTCGGATCAACCTGGTGCCCAAGGGAGTTGCCTCAAAGAATGCTTTTCTAGAAATGGCTATGGGCGTTGGGGACTGGGGACTCCCTCAAAAATGGGCACACAGCACTCCCCGTTTCATTGATGATGTTCACAGGGTCCACCCATTTCCCATGATTGCAGCCGCATTTTGTGTGTACTTGAAACCAAATCAAGTCATCACAAGTGAACCCTGTGATCACGAAAGGCTCTTGTATTAGCGTCTTAGTGTTGGCCCTGGACGAATAGGGTACCCATTTTTTTGGATGGGCTAAAAAAATGGGTTTCCACCAGGAACACCATCAGGAACCACTGGATTAATAGGGTACTTGTTTTTTTCTTTTTCTTTTTTTTTTCGGATGGGTTAAAAATGAGGTTTCCACCAGGAAAACCACACCTCTTTTTTTCTTGGGGGGGTCTCCAATGACCAAAGACGAGCCACCCAGAAGCGGAACCACTTCCGGAGGACTCTACCCTGGGCCTTCGAAGCAACCTGCTCCTCCCGTTGCTTTCGCTGCTGGTCCACCTGCGGCGCGGCACGATTAAACAAACCCAAAACAAGCCTTCCATTGGCTGAACTTGGTGGCTCCCAACATAGATCTGCAGAAAGAAAGATCTCACTTGGTACAGACAGATCACTCATTTCTTGCTTGGATTGTTGTTTGCCAGTTTGTGAATAGTTCTTGTTGGCTCCCAGCCATCCGGTTCCTTAGCTGTTTAGTATTAGCCTTTTAGTGTTTAGTGGTAGTTTCCATTTAAGCCGCTAAGCGGGGAATCTGAGGGCAGCCCAGTTAAGAATATGTTTCGCATTTAGATAGTTGCTCATTGTTCAAAACAAATGTTGTCATACTTTCTCCCTTTCCTCCTTTGTTGCTGACAATTATTTTGGTTTAAGCCCCGGCTTTAAAGGGAACCGATTTCACTACCGGCCATGCTTTCCATTTTTTTCCGGGGGCTTAAACGAATGGAGGAACCCCCACACGGAAATTCAGGGGGGGAACCGGAGAGACCTTTGGGCTCGCCTAAGGTGGATCCTGTAGAACCTCATCTTGAGCTTTTGACATGGCCAAAAGGTGGATTTGCCTCATCCCCACCGAATTAACGGCCAAAGTTTAATTTTTTGCTCCCCTTCCAACGTCAACCAAGCATACCTGATGGACAGTTTTGTCGAGTCCGACTCCGTGTCCGAGGCTTAGCGGTGCACCCGGTCCTCGAGCTCCTCCACTGGGACTTGCACGTCTCCGCGGCGAAGCGCGCGAAGCTGGCGCTGGACAGCGTCCTGGGGGCGCTGGCCTTCGTCGCTTTGCCCCTGGGCCATCTTTTTTTTTTCTTTTCTCAGAGGTCTCAGGGGCTTAGGTGGATCAGGTGGGGGTTTTCGGGGGGGTGGTTTTGAAGGGAACCAAAAAGGATGCCAAAAAGGACGCCAATCATTTTAAGGGTCCCCCATGCGTCTGCCATTTTCTTCCGCCACTACCCACGGTTCAAAGGCTACCTACTCCCATTCAAACAGGGTGTAATTCAAGGCTCACCTTTCTATCCGAAAGGGAAATGGAAACCGCCCATTTTGCTCCCCCATCAGGTTGGCACAGAATCACTGCCGTAGTTTCCTTGGGTGTGTTTCATTTGTTAAACTTGTGTATTTCATGGTTTTTGAGGGTTGTTTAGTGTGATGCTTTTTTCATGGTTGTTTTTCTGCGTTTAGTGTATTTGGGTTGTTTAGGGTTTTAAGGTTGCTCAACTTATTTGGGTATGGGTTTCATTTTGGGTACCTATGTTTGACCCACAGCCATTTGTGCTGGCCTTCTATCTCTGATCCATCGGCATGGGCCCATGGGCTGTGGACCTTGTGTTCACAAGAAGGCAACAGCTTTGCTGGTTTCTTTAAATACGGCTCCCAAGAATGGTTTGTTTCCTTTTCTCAGTGCTTCCAGTTACCACTATAGTAGGTGACCTGGCTAGTTGGAAGGGCTTGGTTCCCCTTTAAACTTTGAGAACCGCCCGCTAATTACTCGATATATGAAGAGTACACTGGGAGATTCGGGGCCCTTACCCCGATGCCAATCAACCCGAGATTGGTATCCCTGGCGAGTTTTTGTCTAATCTATTTCTGCCGTATCGCTCAGAGCTTCCGTTAAAATTGATCTAAGCCTCCTGCATGTGCCACGTGGGAGGAAGTGTCAGGGGATTTGTTCGGCCTGACACCGGTTAAAGAGAGTAGCGGAACAAGATGTGTTTGTGTGTGTGTCTGTGTTTTAGGGGACCCCCAAAATGGTGGTTTTTCCTCCTGGTCTCCCTGTAACACCAACCAAACGGGGGTACCCTCAAAGTTGACCCGCTTTTGTATTGAACAGCTCCCTGAGCTTTACGGCGTAGTTGGTTCCTCTTCAAGGTATGTGAAACTTCGTGCAAAGATGGCAACAGGCCCTTGGTCTTGCGGGATTTGCATGCAATGCACCTGCTTTAGTATCAGGCAAAGGATCCATGAATTGTGTTGAGTGTGTCATTGTGGTTTAAACTTCAGGTATCCATTTGTTGGTGGTGTTGATCAGTGCTTTGGGGATTTGAACCCCAATTCCTTGTAAGACCAAGTGGCCAAGCCAGACCACCAAGGAGGGGTGAAGTGAACACTTGTTCACTGAAGCACATCCGCACAGGCGAGCCAACTTGTTTTGACAGAGTGTATCATTCCTACGGTTTTTGTTTGGTTTTGTCAAACCTAGTTGCGAAACGGCACGAGAGAAAAGAAATCCAAACTCGACAAGACAACACAATCGAACGTCCAGAGCACCAAGTCTGTTTGTTTTCTTCAACATTCCGCGAGTGCCCCCAGTGAGTCTTGGAGCAATCAGGCGGCACCTCCAATTGATTGCCATTCGACATTTGAACGCCCAGGAGAAAATGAGAGTTGTCTTTGTGAGCGTGCCCATTTTTTGTGGAGGACAGAAGCCGCCATTTTTTGCGGGCCCCCCTGGAAAAAGAACCTCCAACTTTACGGAAGGAAGCCAACAAGAAGGAGATGCCGGTCCTAAAACTGGATCATGTTTTTTGGGCCACTTCCACACCATGAAGCCCAATCACTAAAGAGCATTTCAGCGACCAAGCCACACGAATCGATGAAGGCCTTGTATTCCTTGAATAGGCCAGGGGTTCGATTTCAGGGGGATAAGTTTGGAGCGCCCCATGCAAATCAACCACCAAACCGGGGGGTTCCAAAAAACCGAGACGTCTGGAAGAGATCTGCCGATGTCCATATGACTCGCGTTGGCTCGCTTGTCAGCTCCGTTTTAAGGGGAGTCGGCTGGACAAGCAGGCTGGACATCTTACATTCGTCCCCCAACCATGGTTGCAACCTGCTCAACAGCATTTCACCAACCTACTCAACCGCATACTCGTGTGTGTGTGTGTGTGTGTTTTGTTTTGTCGAGGGTACCCTGTTTTTGATGGTTTGACAAAGAGAATCAACAAGACAAAAACACCAGATATATATATATATATATACACACATTCTGTTTATTTGTGTGTTTGTTTATTCCTTTATCTATTTATTTACGTTATATATATATATATATATGTTTATATATATATATGTTTTTTTTGGGGGGGTCCTTTAAAGAAGAAGCGCCACCCATATCTGCTCACTGCTCCCTGAGGTTTTTCACCTGGGAGGGCTCCGCTGTGGTTTTTCAAGGCGACGCGTGCCCCGTGGAGCAGGGCTCGATTTTGTGGCGCCTCGGCGGAGAAAACATTCGCGCCACTTTCCTGAGCAAAATAGCTATTTTGCTGGAGATTGACAGCAAATGGATGAGGGTTATGTTTCACAATGTCCCAGTCGGTTCACAAATGTTGTCACAATCAAAACCCGGGGATTGATGAAGGTTTTGTTTGGGGGCAGTCCCAGCCGCGGAAAAATAGTTGCGGAATTCCGCCTGTCTAATTCTTTATGTTCTGGGTTCACCATTTTTGTACCGATCGGTTTTGATTGTGACTCAAACGCGCAGACTTAGATCCGGCGACGTGGCTAGGCACTTTACTTGCTGGTTCCATAGGCAGGGAATCAGGGTGTGAGCCCTGTAAACCATCCTTTGTGGCTTCCCTTAAGGGAATCTCCAGTTTCATGTGCTTTGCCCCTTTCTTCAATGGCCATGGGTTCCCCAGGAAGAAAGTAGTCTTCCAGATCGTCAGCTTCCGTGATTGTTGGAGGGAGGGTATGGCTATTGGTTTAAAGTTTGTGGATTATTTGTATTGGACCCAAGAAAGTGAACAACTCTGTTTTGCAGAGGGGTCGTTGCAGCAACCAAGCGTGGTTCGCAGCCGCCAACAAAGGTCAATTGGTTAGAAACCCGTGAGGCCAGCGACTGAAATCTTGGAACTGGGTGCTTGCCGCCAAATATCCTAAAGTCGTAACCTTCAGCGGGTAATGAATGAAATGGGGAGTTAGCAATCTCCTGCATCCCCAAATGATCTCCAGTAAACCCAGGAAAAACCGGTTGAATTGCGAGCCATTTAGCCAACTCGGCAAAGTTAAGGCAGCGGGCACAGACCTGGAGTCATTTGAATGCTCGAAGTGGATCAGCTCGGGGATCTTTCCAGCAATCTGCCTCATTCGGAAGACTAATCCTTTAAGGCACCAAGCGTCTGGGAAAAGGGGCTACAGTCACACTGCACTTGAGGTCGTTTCGCTGGCTATTGAGTCGGGATGGTCCAAGCTTGTGACCCGAACAAGATTGGAAGGGAAAACCACTCAAAAAGGGGCACCCACCTGTTCAATAGGAAACCACCATTATTCAGGTGTCCCTCAATTGGAGGGTTGGATTGCTCCAAATTGGTTTGGGAGTTTAAACCCCAGTTCCTTTTCAATCCCAATGAGCATGGGGAAGGTAGCATCCAAACCTCCAAACTACCAAATAGGGGAAAGGTGAATTGATAAGCTGCCCTCCTCCCCCCCACCCACCCCCCGCCTTGACACATGCCTTGAAGACGGGGGCTCCGGAAAGTACATCGCCTTGAAGGCTCATCGGCTTCACGACAAAACGGGCGGAAACTTCACTGCACTCGTTCCCAACACGTGTTTAGTTTCTTTGGCCATGAGGCTGCATGGTATGCTATCTAAAGAGGATGAATGAAATTACCAGCCTTGGTTCGTTGGTTCCCTTCCTTTGTTAGTCTTGCTGGTGCTCAGTAGAATGTGGGAATGAAGCCAGGGATTCCCTTCAAGGAAGCCACAAGGGACGGTTTACAATGGTCATTCTTTCATTCCCTGCTGAGCACCAGCAAGTAGTTCGGCTGCAACGAGTAGAGTTGTTTATTAACTATGCCCAGGATAGCTAGGTTCAGCTGGCAACTGGACTCTGAGGTATGTCTTCGTCTCCTGCTCGGCGATTCTCTTGAACGCTCTGCCTTGTAGCTTGGCTGCTTTGTGGTTGGATCTTTGCTTGTTTGTTTGTTTGTTTTTTTTGGGGGGGTATGTTTATTCTCTACAAAACGGCTAAACAGTTTTCAGTTTTTCGCCACGGGTGTACTCGCCATTGAGGCAGCTGCATGCATTCTTTGGCCCGGCGGCAGTTCGCCCGAGAATGGCCAGATCGCAGCTGGCAGCTGAAGGTCCGCTCCTGCTGGGACTTTGGCTTTTGGGCGCTGGGGATGTGCCTCACCACGTGTCATGTGATGATGATTCTTGCCATCCTGGCGAACCTTCAAGTTGATCCTTGCCCTCGCAAACGGCCACATGGGGGCGGGATTTGTGGTGTGTGTTTGATGCTCCTTTTTTGTTGTGTGTGTGTGTTTTGTGTTTGTGTTTGTGTGGTTGTGTGTTTGCGTGTTTGTGTGTTTTATTGTTTTTGTGTGTTTGTATGTGTTTGTATGTGTGTGTGTGTGTGGGTGCGTGCGTGCGTGCGTGCGTGCGTGCGTGCGTGCGTGCGTGCGTGCGTGCGTGCGTGCGTGCGTGCGTGCGTGCGTGCGTGCGTGCGTGCGTGCGTGCGTGCGTGCGTGCGTGCGTGCGTGCGTGCGTGCGTGCGTGCGTGCGTGCGTGCGTGCGTGCGTGCGTGCGTGCGTGCGTGCGTGCGTGCGTGCGTGCGTGCGTGCGTGCGTGTGTGTGTGTGTGTGTGTGTGTGTGTGTGTGTGTGTGTGTGTGTGTGTGTGTGTGTGTGTGTGTGTGTGTGTGTGTGTGTGTGTGTGTGTGTGTGTGTGTGTGTGTGTGTGTGTGTGTGTGTGTGTGTGTGTGTGTGTGTGTGTGTGTGTGTGTGTGTGTGTGTGTGTGTGTGTGTGTGTGTGTGTGTGTGTGTGTGTGTGTGTGTGTGTGTGTGTGTGTGTGTGTGTGTGTGTGTGTGTGTGTGTGTGTGTGTGTGTGTGTGTGTGTTTGTGTGGTTGTGTGGTTGTGTGTTTGTGTGCTTGTGTGCTTGTGTGCTTGTGTGTGTGTGTCTGTGTGTGTGTCTGTGTGTGTGTCTGTGTGTGTGTGCCTGTGTGTGTGTGTGTTTGTGTGTGTGTGTGTCTGTGTGTGTGTGTGTGTTTGTGTGTGTGTGTGTCTGTGTGTTTGTGTGTGTGTGTGTCTGTGTGTGTGTGTGTGTCTGTGTGTGTCTGTGTGTGTGTGTGTGTGTCTGTGCGTGTCTGTGCGTGTCTGTGCGTGTCTGTGCGTGTCTGTGTGTGTGTTGTGGGTTGGGTTGAAACCACAGCTTGATGGGCCTGAGGGCAATATCGGGGGGCGGGGGTATGCAAAATTGCACGCGTTTGGTTGGCATTGGCCAGCCATTTTTGGGTACTCCTGTTTGGTCCTATTTTGATTCACCCATTTAAACCTGAATGCCCCCAAAAAATATGCTTTGGGCGCTTGGCTTAAGTTTCCAGACTGGTTTCCTTGGGCCAGGTCCTGGGTCCTTCAACTCGTTTTCTTTTTTTCCGCAAACACAGTGGCGATGCAATCAATCCGAAGGCCAGCGCGTGCATGGGACAATTGGGTGTAAGCCTTTGGTGTGAGGAACCTTGCGACCTGACCTCCATTTGCTTAAGAATATGTTTGCTTTTTTGTTTTCCCTTGTTGCGTTTAAAAGGAATTCATCACTACTGGACATACTTTTAATTGTTTCCCGGGCCATAACCAAATGGAAGCTGAGGAGCACGAGTGGAAGTGGATGATCTCTTTGGCCGTGGTTTTGGCTCGCAAGCTGATCCTCGTGCCGTTTCTGGCGTGTGTGCTGAGCCTGGTGCCTGACCTCTTGCCCGACGACGGACAGGTGAGGAAAGTCAATTGCCGGTCGATCGTTGGTTTGGGCAAGGGGGCCCGACCTCAATTTCCACAGCAAGAACAGGGGAAACCATTGAAGGCACAGCAAACACATTTGATTTTGTTGTTTTATTCGGCTTTTTTTATGGATTGATGAGTTCTTACAAGCTCCGTTTGGTGATGTTTCAAGGCAGATTGAAAAAGACCACCATCTCGAGATGGCCCGATGGCCCGCTTCCAGAATTCTTGTGAAAGAGGGTAATTACTCCCCCCCACCCGGTTACACAAGGCTGTTTTGCGTTCCATGGCTTTCTTTTTGTTGCTTGGTTTCAGTAATAATGGTCAAACTCCCTGGTGTTGGCATTTGTTTGGTTATGTTCATGTGTTTGTTTCGTTTGTTTGTTTTGTTTACTATTATGTTATATTATTATTTTTGGGCGGCGGGGTGTGTGTGTCCGCACAAAACAAAGCTTTTTGAACTCGAAATCCTGCACCACCTAAGCAACCCTGGAATGGTGACTTGAAAACCAGTTTTGGTCCATCCAAGGTACCAAGGGTTGTAAGTCAAACCAAGCCTGGGACTTTGGCTCAATTCCCGTGAGGTTTCGAAGAAGTTTGGGCTGGACATGCAGCTGCAGAGTGACACAGCAGGCGGCAAACGTCGCCGGTGGGAATCAAATCGCGACATTAGAGGTTGCTCCAAGCATTTGGTTGGTTGGCTGGCTGGCTGGTTGGTTGGGTGGGTGGTTGGTTGGTTGTCGGTCAGCTGGTTGGTTGGTCAGCTGGTTTTGTTGGTTGTCCAAGATGACAAGTTCATCCCTCCGCATCAGTCGTGATCGAAAAAGCCCTCAACACTAGGGAAAAACACCTACCAACTAGTGCCGAATTTTGTCCATCGGCGTTCTTGTCCGTTGGTCATGCGAGACTTGCCCCTTTGCCGCAGAGGGTTTTGTTCGATAGGCCCTCGTGGACGATGGCACGAGAAGGTAGAGGAGTTGGCTGGGCGCGGGATCAGTGTCCGTCATTTGGCGCTTTGGTGCGTTTTTTCCAACTTGTCAACATCGGGGCTTGTCTTAAAAATTGGGAACCCCCAAACACGTATTGAAATCGCTACGCGATCCGCCGACGCCAGTGGACAGTCCCCTATTAATAAACTGGGGCTGACCAATCTGGAGTCAGTACGGAGCTCTTAACAAGTGAAAAGAGACCAAACGACGCCCCTCTGACGTCGGCTGCAGGGTACCTCAAGTTTGGGGACGTTTTTTTGTCTAGGTCACATGGGTCTCTTAGCGCGTGGAAGGAGAACAAGCAACGCCCCCCTGAAAGTACTTTCAATTTGGTCTGAGGTGCCTTGAATTTGGGGTAAGGAAAAAGGCGTTTTTTGCCTAGGTCACATGGGGCTCTTAACACGTGGAAGGAGAGGGTGCCTCGAATTTGGGGTAATATTTGTTGTTTTTTGCCTCGGTGATATGGGGCTCTCAACGAGAATGCAAACAACGCCGCTCTGACTTCGACTTCGGCCGCAGGGCTGAAGACGTGACAGGAGAAGAACAATAGGGTCTACTCTTTAAACCACCCCCCAAAAGGGTATAAAAGCAAGGCTCCATTTTTTGTAAGTACAACAAGGCCCTCTTGGCACTTTCCTGTTTTTCATTTGTGAGATGCTGAGGATGCCGGAAATGCAAGGGATGCAACCACACAACTTACAGGAACAGACCCAGTCTTCGCGCTCAAGATTCTAAGACTTTCAGACACGCAACATTGAAACAGCTCCTCAAAGTATCACTGCACTTGGCCCCACCCAAACCCCCTAACAGGCCAATTCCAACATCGCTTGAAACAGCAAAACACCACTAGTATCTGCAAAAAAGGACAAATTCATGGCAACCATATTTTCCTGATGATGCTTGGGGATGCAGATCCTGCACGTCCGGGGGAACCCCCCCCCCAAAAAAATGGAGAAAGTAGGGGGCCTGGGGGGTGGTCTGTTGATGGTTGCCTGTTCTGGTTTTTATGTTCATCTCAAATCTATGTTCCCCCTTATTCGTTTTTAAAAGAGGGTTTTTAGGGAGCTTATTTATCGTTTTCGTTAAGGTAATCATTTGGGTAAATTGTCCCCTTGTTCATTGTTGGGCTGGGGGCAAACATTTTTTTCATTTGAAAGAGTTGACCCTTTTAGTAGTTATCAAGTTCTGGGGTGTTGCTGGGTCGTTTGTTTTCTTTGACGTTTATCTCTACAATTATTTATTTTCGTTCTACACTCTTGACAATATTTATATCTTTTTCCACTTTTTACATTTCCAAATTCATCAATTGTTTTATCATAAAGGCATCTGTTGCATTTGAAGAATTCACCATAGTCTTCTGTTGCTTTTTCTTCTGTCATTCCATAATTATTCATTATAGTTTGCTTCACAACCATTTCTTAATATATCTTAACAACTTCTTTTTATGTGATTTTTATGTGATTGTCTAGCTATGTTTTATAGGTTAAAAGTTCGCTATAATTATAACATATAAGATTTTACATGTTATAATTATGGTTTAGTTATGAATTACACAGGTTCATCAACAATTAGTTTAAACCTTATGTTTTGTACTCCTCCAAAATTCATTCTACTTCTTTCATCATCAATACATCTGTATATTGTTTGATGTGCCTCCATCATTACTTCTGTTATATTATCTATGGTTATATTATCTACAAAATCATCACTACGAAAATAAAAACTAAAAGTGTTAAAATGGTTGTCTTCATAATTGAAATGATGAAACCTTACAAACATATTTACCTCAACTATTATCACTGTTTCATAACCGTTATCGGTTTCAATGCCATCTAACAAACAATCTAAGTTTTCATTTTCATTAAAAACTATATCTTTGATGCTTTTTATGCTTAAAGGTATATTTCTTGAAATGTAATACTCAATTACGTGTCTCTTTATATCATCGCCATCTTCAACAGTATAGCGCTTTGTCTTTCTTTTTGTTTCTGTTCTGTCTATTTTATATCGTTGTTGTATTCTCTTTAATGTCTTAATATGATTATGTTTTATTTTCAAATACTCAGGTTCTCCTAATTTATATGAAATGATACCTTTTAATACATCAACAGGTAAGCTAGCACAATTCTTAACCATAAAATTATTATCTGATATTTTACCCCCACTCATTTTTCTCTTAATATGTTATGCTATTTTTTCTTTAAGTAGTTTTGACTAGGGGGTTGCTGGTCAGCTGGTCTGGGTTTCAGGTTTAATTTAAATGTCTGTGTGAGCCAGACCTTGCTGTGCGAGCCAGACCTTACTGTGTGAGCCAAACCTTGCTGTGTGAGCCTGACTGTGTTGTGTGAGCCTGACTGTGTTGTGTGAGCCAGACCTTGTTACTTGAGCCATTCTCCCCTTAATTGGGGAGTTCGCCCCCCTTAATTGGGGAGTTCGCCCCCCTTAATTGGGGAGTTCGCCCCCCTTAATTGGGGAGTTCGCCCCCCTTAATTGGGGAGTTCGCCCCCCTTAATTGGGGAGTTCGCCCCCCTTAATTGGGGAGTTCGCCCCCCTTAATTGGGGAGTTTACCCACCGTTTTCAAATCCAATGATATAACATTATAACCGAGCGACTTTGCTACTTTACCAACTGAAGAAGTACCACTAAATAGTTCTAATAAGTGCATATATTATTAGAACTATTTAGATATTAATATTTTCACATACATATCGTTGATGTTTTTCAGTTCTCTCGTGTCTTCTTATATCACATTTCCTGAAAACACCACCACATTCACATTCAATAGGTTCTTTTCGTTTTTCCAATATTGTTTCTTTGTTTTGGTGGTAGTGCTCCCTACTTTTATTACATATATGTTCTTTGTTGTTTTCTGCGTATTCCTTCCTCATATTTTGATAGTGTTCCTTATTGTCTTCCTTCCACTCATTAATTGTTCTACCTGCCACACATCTATTCACACAATCATTATTTTGAATGTAATAACCTTCTCTTTTCATTAACTGTTCTCTGTTTTCACATGGGTAGTCTTCTAATAATTCAATCTTACAGTTGTCCATTCCATATTCATCAAACAACAAACGACAGTTTGTTTTATTATTCCATTGTTCTGCCTTGTTATAATTTTGTCTATGTCTTGCCATTCTTTGGCTCAAGCTTTCACAGGTGCTTCCGATGTAGCACTTATTATAACCAACATCTGTTATTTTGTAAATCTTTGCGTTTTTATATTTACTGCTATCCATTAATAACCTTAGTTATCTTTTCTTTAACGCAGTTTATAATGTCCATAAGGCAGTGAATTGAAAGCATCAATGTAAAACCTTTTATTTTCATAATTACTGAGTGATTGCTTGACTTGAGACATTGAAAATAATTGATGGTTGCGACTACGAATAAAATTATATGTTATTTCATGCTTTTTGTTTTGAAATAATGCTTCGTGGTAGTTTTGGTAAGTCAGTTCTTTCTTCACCTTGTGTTTCACTACACCTTTTGATTTCTTTTGTTCTTCTTCTTCACCGTGTATTGTAAAAGCATACGATTTAGGCTTTAACCCTATGAATTGTGTTATTGTTTGACCGTTGCACTCATCCTTGAAATAACCGAGTTTTTTCTTATTTGTTTTGTCATGGCAGGGGTGTTCAGGTGGATAATCGCTAAAGTCCATATATTGGTTTAATTCTTTGAAGTCCTTGTAGATGTCCTCAGTGAATGTTTGAATTACATAACTGTCAGTATCAGTATAAACCAGTTTGATGTTTTCATTGTATTTCTTCTTAAGAACATCATAGTAGAACTGATACATATGTAATTTACTGATGTCAAGGATTGTCATTCCTAAGAAAATCGGTTTGTCCAGTTTCAGCTTCGCTTTAGTTTTTTCAACTCCTACAAGGTTTTCATTAATAATAAATCTATTTTTGAATGTTGGATTATTAACACATTTTTCGTATCTAACTTCATTATCAACTAATTCAAAGTCCATATGATTTCGTTTGTCTTCCATAGTTTTTCCATACACAGAATTATTCATTAATTTGAATAAATCTTTCTCAAAATCGCTTTTGGCTTCTTTCCTTTTACCTGTGTTAAAATCAATCCACGGTTTCAACCATGCCCTCTGTTGAAATTTTATTATCCTATGGACTTTTGTCATTTTCATTCCCATTTTCAAATAATACTGTAAAGTCTTGATATGAACCACATATTTTTCTTTATCCTTTAGATTTAATATTAACTTACTTGTTTTCTCATCCTTGGGATTTTTGCCATCATAATATATTTTGTAGACTTGCTTTTGATAATCAGAAAGCATACTAACATTTACATTCATTATTTCAGGCGCTAGTGGATAGTCAGAGTGGAAGTCGTGCAATGTTTCGGGATATTCCAAATCAACTTCCATAATATAACCGAACTCATCGTTTTCATTCCATGTTTCAACACTGGGCGTTTTCTTTGCCCACTTGATATTTTTTAGCGGTAATTTCTGGGACATTGCTAAACCATACAAGTTATTAGCATCCAAGTAGCTAATATAATTTGATGGCTTGTTCTCATCATATGCTTCCCCCATATACTTATTATTTGCCACCGCTAATTTATGACTGACTTGACACATTCCTCCTCTCATTCCCTTTTCAACCATCTCAAACATTTCTTGGTCATGCAATTGTTCTATTTCAACACCAGTTTTTAGAAGCATCGCGTCCCATGCGAAATTTGGCAATGTGTAATAATGAGCGGGGTCTAAACCGTAGTATTCCATACACAAGTCTCTAAAGTTTTCAAATACATCGGTCAGTAGTAAAACATCAGTTCTTAAATACAAGTCGTGATACTGCCCGAGTGTTCTAATCCCGAAGTGCTTCCATACTTTCAGTGCCCTTTCATAATCTTTATCACTTACATGTTCCTCACTTAATTTACTGTAAAACGCTTCTTTCGGTGGTAAAGCCCTTTCCTTAAATCTTTCAAAATCATCAAAGTAGTCATAGGGATAAATACCCTTA